TGCCCTTTGGCCTCAATGGGGCAATGGCGATGTTCCAGCATGTCACAGATCAGATCCTTACTGAACATCAGTCGAGAGCTGCAGCCTATATCAATGATACGATTATATTCTCAAATGGTTGGCCACAACACCTAGAAGACCTACAAGATATATTAGAGGAACTTAGGAAGGCAGGACTCACTGCCAAATCTCGTAAGTGTGCCTTAGGACAAATGGAAACAAAATATTTGGGGTTCTTGATAAGGCAAGATAAAGCCCCTTGTAGATAAGGCGGAGGCCCTAAGAATGTACAACAACCCCTGAATGAGGAAGCAAGTAAAGTCTTTTGTGGCGTTAGCTAATTATTACCGCAAAGTTATACCCCACTTTCTGAGCTAACTGCCTATCTTACAGACCTGACGAAGGGATGAGGATCCAAGCCTGTGGTGTGCAGGAAAGATGCTCAATGGGCCTTCAAGCAAGTTAAAACAGCCTTATGCAAAGAACTGGTGCTCTTCACACCAGATTTTAATAGGCCCTTTGTCTTATAGATAGATGCTTCTAGAATAGCACTTGGAGCTGTTTTGACACAGAAGTGCCCTGAAGGGGATCGGCCCATAGTATACACCAGGAAGAAGTTGTGAGGGCACGAGTGACAGTATTCCACCATTTAATGAGAATGTCTAGCAATCAAATGGGGTATTGAACCATTCTGGAACTACCTCCTGGGTAGGGAATTTAAGCTGATCACAGATCATGAGCCTTTAAAATGGCTACAAACAGCAAAGTCCGATAACACCTTCCTGACATGCTAGGCTCTAGTGCTACAGCTCTATTAGTTTCAGGTTGAACACAGGCCAGAAAACATAGTCATGGATTTCTTTTCACGTAGGCATGAAGAGGAAGCACTGAAGCCGCAATGAGTACCGGTAGTCTTCCGAAGATGAAAGGAGGTGGGACCACAAAGAGTGGATGCTAAGACTTTGAGTGAGGGGACGCAGAACTTAGCATGGGGGAATCATAGCAGTCAGGGAGACGAAGGCTCTGCACCTGGCCCCCATCCCCAGCTGTTCCCCGCAGCACAGCTGGGAACAGAGAGGCTGTCGGTTGTGGGGTGAGGGAGAAAACCCGAGTCAGAGTGGAACTAAGGGAAGCCCCAGGGGCAGCTGACTCTCAGCTGGTGAAGCCAGCAGATTGGCCACTAGGAGTGCTGATGGGGAGATAAAAAGCAGCTGGTGGAGACTGGAAGGGGGAGGAGAGAAAGCGAAAGTGAAGCTGCCAGGCTGCAACACACCTGGAGGGCAGTAAGAGGAGCGCAAAGGCTCCTGCTCTTTTGCTGTGTTTTGGTTGCAACTCTGGTGTTTTGCGGAGGGAGTATAGGGGTGGTGGAGCTCCCAGCCATCGGGGCCCTACTCAGATTCACAGGGTGCGCAAGTCTTGTTATCTCTTAAAGGGACAGGCCCTAATTTTGAACTGTGTTTTGGACTGTAGCTACCACTAGTGTAAATCCTGCCTATAAAGAGCTTTCACATCAGTCATGGAGAACTGCCTCCTATTCTGTAGATTACAAACTTAATGTCAAGTTGTGGTGGGCGAGTAGATACTAGAGGCAGTGACACCCCTTCCAATTTCACCCTGGGGAGTGCCCAGTCAAGGGCACCTTCCCCTGACATTGCCCCAGCAGTGTTTGCAAAATTTCTTCTATGAGAGCTGATGAAAAAGAGAATGAATGTCTTGATGTGAGAATCTCATCTTTCAGTTTCTAGCTATGAACAATGCAGTGAAAATTAAAATTACAAAGGTGCTGAACAAACTACATTGGATGCCAGTTTGTTTCCTGGTACAGTTCCAGTTACTGGTTCTAATTAGTGAATTCCGTTTTGGTTTGTACATGAGGGTATGTCTATACTATATTTCAGGTTAATCCAGAGGTAGCTATCCACCTGAGCCATATGATCTGCTCTTCTTTATCTTTTAGCCTGCACCAGATCTGGCTGCATTGTATTTTTATTTCTTGCATATAGCAGCAAAATGATCCCAGATTCCTTTGCTGAACCCTTCTAGAACTCAGTTGGCAGACTCTTAGTCTCTCCTTTCAGGCTTACTTATCAGACAGTGTCTACTTATCAGATGTAGAGAGAAGAACTAAGTAAAGAAGAGCTGGAAGTAATGAGCAGAGAACTGTAGGACTGTTGCTAATTGACTTCCTGTGCCTGAGGCCTGAACATGTCAATTCCAGACATATGCAGAACGGTGAGGAGACCTGGCGGGGCGGGGCGGGGCGTGGGTCAGTCTTGTATGCTGAGATTCTGGAGGGATCTAAGGTCAGACTGGATTGCTGTAAGGAGTCAGGCATTGGGGTTTACATTGGAGATAGTCACTATATATGGACTTTAAAGTGACTTTAAGGCTGAATCTAACCATTGACACAGACTTAGGCTTAGTGAGTGACTATCTTTTTGCTCCACTGTTCTACTATAACTGCTGAGATTTTACTTTAACACATAATATGCAAGATTATCATCATGGGACAAAACTAGAGTTATTTTTCTCTGTATTGGTCAATTGGTTTACTTTGTGCATTTGACACTTCTTTTGTATAGTTTCCATTTAATAATAAGCCTGTTTCCTCTATTGTTTAGGTGTGGGTACTTTTGAAGAGAATAAAACTCATAAAAAGGGAAAATGTGATTATATAAAGCAAAACTGGCAGTGGACTCTGTGGCACTTGTACTATGTAAAATTACTTTTAACTCACTTCTTGGAACTGACTAGCTTTCAGGCTGAACTTCAATAGAAGACAAGGGCTACTTGGCTCTCTCTGTTCCTTTTGTCGCAGAACTCCCTGGCTATCATAGTCCTCTGAAGATGCTTTGTCCAGCATTGCCTCTATTCTCCTCATCTTTGATGCATCCTGATTAGTGGAGTCACTAGCTCTATTTTATATATTTTTAAGTCACAGCTAATTTAATGACAAACAGAATCTCCATGAAAGCACTTAGCTGGAGAAAGAAAAAGGGATAAGGTTTCAAAATCTACTCTTCCCTGAAACAGCTGACCATTTGAGCTGGTCAAAATCTAGAATTCCTATTTCATGGGAAATTATTAAATTAAAAAAATGTGTTTGGTCTGAATCCAAACAAAGATAAAAATTTCAAAATTTCTCACAAAACAAAAATGTTATTTTGGCAATATTAAACCTCCCTTATTAAAGCATTTTGCTTTAACTTTAAGTTTTCTAACAACTAAAACAGTGAATTTGACATGAAGTGCTTAAACTTTATCAAAGTAAGATGTTTCAATATTTTTTTCCCACTGAAACTAACAACATTTGCACCTTCCCATGAAATATATAGATTTTGCCAAATAAGCATTTTTCCAATGGCTGAAAAGAAATTAACTAACACTAACTACTTTGGTTAAGAGGAAAATTGTTCTCTTAGTCCAGCAGCATTTGTGTTATATTGTGGAAAACAATATTCAACAAAGCGGTGGCTCTTTCTAAAAATCTCAGGATGTTTGTGAAATGCCATTCCTCTGCCTGCTGCTGAGCCAGGTGGGAATTTTACAAATATATTGTTCTTTATGTGTTAGGAAATCAACCGGACATTAAAACACATAAGCCAATTACCATTCTTTTCTCATATATTCCATGCCTCTGAATAAGACCTGCACCTTGTTTCTGGAAGGCAGAAAGCAGAAAATAAGATTTTTCCAGAGTCATAGTGCAGAGATGACTTCATGGAGCAGCTCATTTCCCCTCAACCAACTCAGTGGCTGCTTCAGTAACAAGTGGCAGTGTGAACTCTTTCACAACAGCTGCTTAATTGGCATCAGCTTTTGGCTGCTTAGACAAAAGCTACTGATAATTCAGCAGCAGCCACAAGAGGGTTAAAACTGGACTTCATCCCTGCTTCTTGCTAGCTTAGAGAAAAGTGGTAACCATTACAGCACAGTGTCTCTACTCATCAAATAAAATCAGGTTCTCTGAATAAGACATGAAACTCAATTTGGAAGGCTGATTTTTGAGGAAAAGCTTCATATGGCATATGAGTAAATATGGTACTTTATTAGTTAATAAATAAATGTATTGGTTTGGACATTATTTATCAAATAAAAAACCTCAAAGGAAGGAAATTTCTGTGATTCATTAGTGTATTATCACACAAAACATCCCCAAAAAAGCAGTATAACTTATACGTTACTGTCCTAGAGCATCCTATTTTCCAGTAAATAGTCTGTCCCATGGACCAGTGGTAGGGGGGAGGAGGTGGTAGGGGGTGCACTGGCACAGTTGCCTTAATTCCTACTGTACCCCAACTTGAAAACCAACTGTCTGGGAGGGGCAGAAGCATTGAGATTGTCATTTAACTTCATGGCTCATCATCTTCTCACTGATTCCTGTTATTCTCTCTCCACTCCACAGGTGTTAATGACCCTCTATCCTTCTTAATGGTCTTGATGTTTCATTATTCAAACTATTTTCCTTCTGCAATTTTGTTGTCTGTTAGTGATTCCGGGCAATGTCTACCTTATTTCATAGCTCTGAAGACTTTTTTTTTTTTTTTAAACTCAAGCTAAAAACTAACTCAGGTGTGGTAATATTAACTCGGGTGTAGAAATGATTGATTGACATATCGGAGGCACTGTCAAGACACTCGAAGACTCCATTTTGTTTTATGAATCTGAATAAGAGATATTCATATAACTATCATGACTACAAGACTAATGATACAATATCCTTCAACTATGTTTTGCCTAGTTGATTGTGTTGTTTTTTTTAATTTATATATATCCTAGCAAATTAGTGCACATTCCAACAGTTATATTTGTTTTTGTTTTGATCTTAAACTGAATAATCTAGTGCTACCATATTAGTAAAGCTTCTTGTTTCTCTTGAATTGGAGAAACATGTGTTGTGTTATGTGTGATGATGTGCCAGACCAAGTGCACCCCACTTTTCAAAATCCTAGATCTGCCAATGCTATGGGTTGTCCCAAAGGAATATAATCAAATCTTACCATCTAACACTGGTTTGGGCTGAGAACTCTTCAGACGCAGCGAAGGTCGGAAACGGGTTCGGTCATTGAAGCTCCAGCTCTTTTGCACTTTGGTTGGACTGCCCTCTGCAGTAATGTCAGTACTTGGGGACCGCCGATCTCCAACAGAAGCTTGCCTGTTCTTAATACTTTGTCCTCTTGGGCTGGCCATCCGTACCCGCTCTTTAAAACTTAACTTTTGGCTGTGAAAGAGAGGCACATACTTTATTTCATATTTAATTCTTTCCAATCTCTTTTGTCATATGATAGACATCTAAACATGTACATTTATTTTATCCTAAGCAAGAAAGACAGTGCAATGTCTTCTTTTAACCCATTTATCACTTTTATGAAATATATTTATTCTTTGGGATCACACCCACTTGTAATAAGTGTAATTCTGTTGAGACATTATCTCTGATTACACACCTTACAGAAATGTTTAGACCTTTAACAGTAGTAGTGTATAATAAATCTAACCAAATGTAATCCAATAGTCACAGTTTAACCTCTGAAACATTCTTTTTGTTCTTTCAATTTTAAACACTTCTAAATATATTGCTATGTTAGACAACCCAGCTCAGTGCATTTCTGATTATCTCTACATTTAAACAAGGACAATTGTTCTCTTATTTCTGCATGCCATGTACTTTTTTTTTAAGCAGGCAAGATGAATGTTATAGTCATGCATTTTCAAGACATGACATTTTCCAAAATATTACACACATAATTAGTGATCACTTACATCTAAAATCACACATTACTTACAACATTCATATGGACAAGACAAAAAAAATACAATCAACAAAACATTCACAAAATGCAATCAATGAGATGACTGAGTTGCAGAAATATGATGCTACATCGAGTGTTTAAGAACACAATTGCCTGTCATTAATTAAGCTGGGAACAGCTTAGCTGAATAAGTGGATTCCTACTTTAGGAACAGCAACAGCCCAGCCAAGCAACAGCCGAGCCAATGTAGAAGTTGTTTCTGATTGATCAAGGGTGGCCTGTGAACTGTGACACCTGACTGAATGGAGGGTTCTGCTCTTTTTGCATGTGCAAGTGGCTGTTTTTACTTCAAGTCACACATCTGTGTGTTGAGAGCCTGTAATATACTGTGCTTAAAACATATTTGTTTGTGTTTCTATGTGCTATATCATGTACTTGGCTTTGCCATGCTGGATGCTTCCATGCAGTGCTTTTCTATATTTATAATTTATACTGTTCACTGACTATATTTCAAGGCACATGACACACCAAAAAATGGAATGGAATGTTGAAGCTGGGTCTGCTGTTTGGAGGCCCAAAGTCACGTTCTACCTACAAGATTAAGCTCGATCTGCACAAGGGAAATCTTTCCCACATAATTCATCCTATTCTTGCAAAAGAAAGGGCTGGAAATCACAGTTGTTCTGTGGCTACTTACAGCCTGATGTAATTTTATTGGATCTTGCAATAGGTATATGGTGCTGTAGTAGGAGAAAATCTTTGGGGGGTCATGTAGAGTACAGACAGCAAAGATTACTGGTCTGTCACTGTAAATGCTCATTATGTTGAGACACTGTCTGTTCTGTTTCCTTTGCAGTCTTTGCATTTGACTGCAGGATGCTAACAAGAAACATTTCCAACAAAATATATTCTGCAGATAACAAGAAATATTAAAATATACTTTTCCCATGCCTAACCAACCATACTCTAGAAAGACAATGTTTTTATATGCAAGGATATGAACTGGAATCAAGATTGAGCAACTGTGGTTATGACATTTCCAAATAATCAGACATCTTTGTCCATGCACCTCATATCATTTCACTTGGAATATAAGCACTACTGAGACCAGCAGGGATGCGCTATGTAGCAAGCAAAGCACATGCTGAGCAGCTTATAGTGAAGACAGTTTCAAGAACGCTATAAAACAATCACATCATTAGAAAGATCTTCACTAGATAAAGGTGTTTCTATATGGCGTGTTGGATCATAATCACTTTAATGAATATCTGTTTCTATAATTTCTCAGACAAGACCCATACTCCCCCTGCCCAAAGTAAGCAATTGTTGAAACAGAAGTGGATGGTGCTGAAAACATCATCTCTTTCTTTTGCAAAGTAACTATACCTCTGACACTAACTCCAATATAAAAGACTCTCAGCATCTATTCTATGAAAGAAAAGCAAGTTCTAGATTTATCTTACAGTAACAGTTATATTACATGATTCCATTCAATGCTTGGCAACATTGCTAGTCATATACCTTCACGAGAATGTGACCAAGGAGACAGTTTTCTAAGACACACACAATGGAATGGGCATGGATTAGTCTGCGCTAATTACATATTACACACACATGCCTCATTATGCCTATTTTCTGTTTTCATGTCTGCCCCATATACTATACTGCATGTATCTTTCCAGGGAGCCAAAACTGTAAATGTTATACAAGCACAAAAATGAAATAATAATTTTCCATACAGTAGTTCAATAAAGCAAAAGCTTTCATGTCTCCTCCTCCTCTGATAATTTAGATAGAGGCTCGCTACAGACATTATACATACATTAGTCTAAACTGTCTGAAATCAGTATAAGTCTGTAACCATACAGAAGTTTGGTGCACACAGAGTGGTCTAAAAATGGTGGAAGCCAGTCTATGATAGACCTGGTTTGAAGTGCACTCAAATCTAATTGATTTAGGTTAAACCAGTGAATCAAACTTCTGTACCAGATCCCCTATTAGTTCAAGTTAGATCACTGTCCCCTGGCATCCCAACCTCCTTTGCAGCTCCCTGCAACCCCTGTGTAGCAGGGAGGCATGCTAGCACTTGGCTTGCAGTTGGCTGCTCCAGTTGAATGCCCACTGAACCCCTCCCCTGAGTTCTCCCAGAGCTAAACTGGCACAGACCTTCTCTCCAGCCCTACCTCCTGCCTCTGGCCATTTGTCAGCCACAGGAAGGCAGTGGGGTGAGGGAGGGGTAGTGCGGGGAGGGAGGCGTCTGTGTCCCTTGCATAAGCCCTGGGACCTGGGCATCTGCATCCCCAGGCTGTGTCCCACACCCTGTCACAAAGCACCCCACAATGTGCACTCCCACCTGACACTGACCCCAGGAAAACCCCCATGCTTGGGCACAGCCTCATGAAACCCAATCCTGGCTTCCACACACCTAACCATGACCCTGATGCCCCCATGCTTGGGCACAGCACCATGGAGCCTGACTTTGGCTCCCATACACAACATCTCAGAGGTCAGAGACAGGTGCCCTGTCACCCAGACCCCAGCATGTACCCCACCCACTCAAAGCAGAAGCCAGTGCAAGTGGCATGCCTCTGGTGGGTCGGGGTGGTAGGGGGTAAGACACTGGGACTGAGCTCACACAGAAGCAACCCTGTGACCTCCATGGCTTGGCCACTGCTGGTAGGTACCTGGTACCTGGGCCATGGGCACCTGGGGTGCTGCAAAGCTTTTTTGGTCTCAGAGAACTAAAGTGGAGGGGTTGTGGGGGCATGCATGCCTATGCCTGGATGCAAATCACAGGAAGCCTGGGCACTCAGCTACACTTAACAGTGTCCAGCATCCCAGGGAGTCTGTAGGACACACTGGGAAGCATGCAGGAGCTCCCCCAATCTGCAGGTCTCAGCCAGTGCAGGCAGCCTTCATGCCCTGCCCACCAAAGGGCAAACATGTTTATTGTTCGCTACTAATTTAGCCTAGACTGTTTACAGAAAACTGTGTAACTTAGATTAATTCCGCTTCAGGCTTTTTGAATGTCTGTACTTAGCTGAATGAAAAACTAATAAACTAGCCCTAACAATGAGCAATAGAGCCTATTTTTTTCTTTATTATCCCAGTAACTGAGAGCTAAAAATGAAAATAAAAAGTACAAAGGGGTCTTGCTAAATCAACTTATTTCACTACATAAGTAATGGCTGCCTTTAAAATCAGTTGTGCACATTTCATTTCATTTATAAAAAACTGAATTATATGCAATAGCTACTTAACCTGAATATTGTTAGTTCTCCAAATCAAAGCAATGAGGCAATGATGAAAGGAACAGTTGCCACTTCATCTGTACTAGAGACATTTGCAAAAATGCAGCACTGAGAATGAAAATATTAATTTAAAATGCAGAACTCATACTTAGGAATATATACAGAAATAGTACTGTAACAGCATTCCTGCCAGACGTTCTCAGAATGTTAAATGAACAGAAATTAAGTATTTGACAAGAGTGTTTCAGAAACTGTTCTGGAGACTGAGCTTCTCCAAAGGTAGCGGTTGTAGATAGAAGATCTTGGGTCTCTGTTCCTATCATAAGACTTGTAGGGATTTTTTCTAAAGTCTCTGGGCTCTAATTAGCTATATAGGTACAAAGTATTTCAAATGACACCTGGCTGCAACCAAGGATGATTCACTGCCTGCAGGCAGACAAGTATTATTTGCAAGGCTACCCTCATATGAGGTTCTTCCAGGAGAGTGTAGTGGATGAGGCACTGTGATTTATTGAATGAGGGGACTTCCTGGTAAACCTACCCACATTTTTGCCAGGTAGGAATAATCCATTTCTGGGGTTATACTTCCTAGTTCTTGATTTTTTGATACAACATGAGGTGGGGGTTCCAGACTATCAGCCCTCTTTCCCTTTCCCTATACCCTCTCCCTCCAGCACAATTTCACATCTCAGTGCATATTGAATTTTCTCCTGAAGCTGATATACTGAAACCTTCTGCAAGGTTTAGCTTATTGTGTTTTTTTCCCTCTGTTCTCCCATCTCTTTGTAATATATCATGACTGAAGTGCCTTTAATGAAGCTACCCCATTGATGTATATTATAACATGACATCATAAAACTGGACAGGATAGATTATGATCTGCATGGTACTGTGAGATGTCAGGTTCTAGGCTCTGTAACCTCCCTTCAAGGGTT